ATCTGCAACGTTGGCAGATATTCCCTTATCCAACGACGCCAGAATACGCCAGCAAGATGATTGACCTGTTTCCAACCGGCATGGTATCGCGAAGCCAAGCCGTCGCGACCGGGTACCGCAGGACAACACTGCATCAGCAACAAACTGTTTGGAGTAAGCGGCTCCAAATCGTTGCTGTCTGATGATAGCGGGACTAAAGGTCTGTTATTGAGAATCCGTTCGGCCTTTATAAGGAGCATGTTCAGTTGTTCATCAGTCAAACATTGTTCCCTACATGGAAGTCTTACCGACCTGATTATACGCTCCCACACAACACTACGATGGCTAGCTGCTGGTGGATTAAAGTGCCACTGTATATCCATAGTCAAAAGCCGGTCTGATATTTTACTCGGACTCCACCGCTTTATATCATCCCGAAATTCCGTTGGCGCACTAACAAAATTCGTACCGTCATCACTGTATTTATCGGTGGGCTTGCCACGTCTACCAACGGAGCATACCAAACAGTGTAGGAATGAATCGGTTGACAGGTTACCTGCCATTTCCAAGCGGACTGCTCTAGTCATCAGATAGCTAAAGATAGAGCCATAGCGTTTTTCTTGCGAACGGCCGCGTTTGGTCTTAAAAGGTCCAAAGTAGTCCACTTCCACGCACTCGAGGGGCACCAACCCACTCCTACTCTGTCTGCCGGTAATGGAGCCATTATTTGTGTACCGCGCTGTGCAAACCGGAGCACGCATAAAGAGCACGCACCAATCACTCGTTTGATGGCGCCAGTCTCATTGATAATCCAATATCGCTGTCGAATAGTGGCCAAGTCCTGGCCTATCCCACAGTGCCCTTCTACTTCATGGAGGTGACGTATGATCAAGGCAGTAACAGGATGTCGGCTCCAAAGAGCTGGATGTTTTACTGACTGACTGTAGTTCGAATAACTAAGTCTGCCTCCCACGCACAAGATGCCACCGATCAAAACGGGTGACAATTTTTGTAGGCTGGATCGCTTCGTACCCAATACAGAAGCATAAACCTGATGCAGCTCTTGCGCGAAGTGACTGGATTGCACGATCTTTACCGAACAATTATGTGATTGGCGGAGTTCCGATACTCTAATAACACCGGAAGGTAAAGCCTCTTTTCTTGCTCTGCCCTCCTTAATAAATAAACATTCCCCGTAACGCAGTAACCAAGCCACATCCTTCTGTAGCTTCATCCAACAGGGGGACCGAGACATTAAAGGGCACATAACATCATTTCCCTCCAACCGGTTAGCATGTCCTACAAAGCTCTTCAGAGCACCTCTATCACAGGGGTCAACCTTGACCTGTAGCAACATCCCTTCGATGTCGGCTGCCACAGCAACTTGCTC